TATATATATATATAATGTGGTATTTAGGAGTGCGAGGATTTGCCACAGTTTAACAGGATGTTAGCAATCCATGTTCAAAAACATCAAGAACATAGACAATAGTGTATATTATCATTCTAATGCAATTTAAGAACCAAGCTGATTAAAACACTTAAACATTCTGATGTTGACTGGCCAAAGAGCTGCCAACACAAACTGCAATACTGCAAATATTGGTTTATTATCAGCAAACATCATCAGAACAAACATCACCTTTGCAACTTTACAACACAAAATAAAATGTTTTATATTACAATTCTAAAAATGCTTAAAAATTGGTTACCGTCATCAACGCACTACGATGCCATATGAACATTTGGTTTCTTTGGCTGCATATATGCAACCGTTTGAACATTTCATTGAAGGTCTGAAAACAGATTACATGCCATCAAATATAGAAAGTGTTCATACATCTCTGTCTGTACAGAAATTCTTTAAATCTTAAAAAAAGAAACAGAAAAAGAGAGAATATCCAACTTCACATGTTTTCAACACCTCTGATTCGCCGGGCGAGTTGTATGTCTCGTGGAAACAATGTCACCCTCTTTGCATGAATGGCACAGAGGTTAGCATCAGAAAACAGACGGACCAAGAATGCTTCTGCAGCCTGAAAGCACATGAAAGAGCCAAGTTATGTACTCTAAATTATTACAATAAAAAATATATATACTGCGATACAAAAATATGACAATGTGAATTGTGGATGCGAGAAATTCATCGTGAGAGTTAATAACAATGTAGATTTAGTTTGTTTTTCAATTTAAAGCAGTCTGCCTAGACGCATTACATTTCCACCTGGTATTAACATGCTGTGAACACATGTTCGGATTTGTTATGACACTCCCTCTATCATACACAAAAACAAGAAATTCATTGCATAACTGCAGTTAAAGGGTTAGTTCACCCAAAAATTCTGTCATTAATTACTCACCCTCATGGCGTTTCAAACCCGTAAGACCTTCGTTCATCTTCGGAACACAAATTAAGATAATTTTGGGATGGAATCTGAGAGCTGTCTGACCCTGCATAGACAGCAACGCAACTGAAATGTTCCCAAGTCCAGAAACGTAGCAAGGAGATCTGTAAAATAATCCATGTGACATTAGGGGTTCAACCGTAATTTTACGATGCTACAAGAATACTTTTTGTGCGCAAAAGAAAAAAAAAAAACGACTTTATTCAACAATTCGTCTCCTCCACGTCACCCTAGCGCCATTTTGGAGAGTATCCCTTGGACGTAAACAGCGTATGCTGTTCTGTGTCAGCTGCGCCATGCGGATACGTTGTTTTCGTTCAGATCAAATCACAACAACGTAGGAAACATCCGGCGTGACGCAGCTGACACAGAACAGCATCTCAGATTCCATCAAAAGTATCTTAATTTGTGTTCCGAAGATAAACGAAGGTCTTACGGGTTTGAAACGACATGAGGGTGAGTAATTAATGACAGAATTTTCATTTTTGGGTGAACTAACCCTTTAATAGTTTTCTGTGTATGATCACCCCAAATGATTGTATATGATTTAATGGTAATTTAATGCCAAGCGAACAGGAGGAATTTTATTCAAATAATTTAACCTGAAAAGTCTGCATTTGTACACCTGATGATGTCTTATATAAAAGGGGGTCTTTCAAATTTTTAACATCAATATTATCATCAACCCAGAATATAAAATAGCAGTCTTTGTATATTTATATTGTCACAAATAAAGTAATTGCTTCAGAACTATCCAGTCTTTTTAAAGAGGTAGATGTATTTTCTCAGAACCAGAGTTTTTGTATGTGTTTTGCTGTTTTGTCTGACCCTGCATAGACAGCAACGCAACTGAAATGTTCCCAAGTCCAGAAACGTAGCAAGGAGATCTGTAAAATAATCCATGTGACATTAGGGGTTCAACCGTAATTTTACGATGCTACAAGAATACTTTTTGTGCGCAAAAAAAAAAAAAAAAACGACTTTATTCAACAATTCGTCTCCTCCACGTCACCCTAGCGCCATTTTGGAGAGTATCCCTTGGACGTAAACAGCGTATGCTGTTCTGTGTCAGCTGCGCCATGCGGATACGTTGTTTTCGTTCAGATCAAATCACAACAACGTAGGAAACATCCGGCGTGACGCAGCTGACACAGAACAGCATCTCAGATTCCATCAAAAATATCTTAATTTGTGTTCCGAAGATAAACGAAGGTCTTACGGGTTTGAAACGACATGAGGGTGAGTAATTAATGACAGAATTTTCATTGTTGGGTGAACTAACCCTTTAACATGCATAACTGTTTTGTTTTGCATGCAACTTAAATAACCAATGTGAAGTCTTGATTTTCCACAAAAAGCAATAAATAAATTCATAAATGGTTCTTAGCTTGTTTTGTCTGTAAATTTTTTTAACATTCATTAGACTTTAAAAAATAACGTCTAATTTAAGTGAATTTAAAACAGTCTTCATATAAACCCATTATAATAAATGTCACATTTACCTGTGCAAGCAACAAGTAGGAAATATACAGAAATAGAATAAAGTTATCAAACACTAAATTCTAAATTAAATATAGATGAATCCTTAAAGCTACAAAAGTTACTGATTTCCTCTTTTTTCTTTTGTTCTTTGACATCACAGCAGCTGGATTATGTTATTTGGCTGCTATTACTTTAAGAGCTGCCGCTGCTGTACGAGACGCGGATGGATCTGATACGCATGTTCAGTTTCTTTTGTGTTTTAATATGAAATGATACAGGCTACACCGTTTTTGTGCATGCAATTGAACAGCACGCGCTCCAAGCACAGTATAACGGCTGACAGGACAGGAATATTCATTTTTAACTGACATATGACCTGACAACATCTCATTTGACCGCAATTCACTGTTGTTCTACTGAAGCTCCTCGTCACCTGTACCGTTTCCACACTTGTTTGTCTAACGCCTGGTGCTGAGGCAAAGTGGAGTGCGCCTCTGAAAAGTCCAGAGGTGGACAAAGTACACACCTCTATTACTTGAGTATAAGTACAGATACTGCTGGTCAAATATTACTCCATTACAAGTGAAAGTTGTAAAGACAGATTTTAAGTACTTAAGTACCAAAAGTAAATGTCCTTTTTTTTACCAATGCACTGATTTATTATGGTTTTAATACTTGCAATACCTTATGCATCTGAAGCAACTTACAATGCATTACACATACTGAATACACTAGTACCTTTGGACTGAAGAGCTTTTAGAAAGTTAAAAACCTATAGAAATGAAATAAGTGAGTTGAGAAAAATACTTTTTTTAACACCCCTACTGACCCCCACATAAGCAGAATGGTAGTGATCTCAAATAGCTCTGCCAGTGTGTTCACACATCTATGTAGCCATTCATCCACATTTGAACCAAGCGGACAGTGAAATTGCTGTAAATACAGACTGATAAGAAAAAAAAAATCAAACTTGCTTTAAAACTCAGCAACACAACTGTAGCTGTATAACTTTACAGCAACACTGCTTTAACAAAAAAGCAAAACAGCAAGACTTATTTGACATCAAAACAAAACATTTTTAAAAATGCTGTCTAATCGCTCTCACTGTACTTTGATGTCATACACAGAATGGTCTGTGCAGTGCTGCTTCAAGTCAAACACCTGTGTTTTATTAGGAGACGCACAACAGTTCTTCTGTGGCTTTATAGGTAATATTTTCATTTACACAATTTTGCAAAATCAGACAATATTTGTTCTAATAAATACCACAATATTATTAACTTCTTATTATTGAACTGTTGCAAATAAATATCACATTTGCAACTGGTCAGTGTTCAAAACATGCTGGGAAATCACTCCACGTAACACTACAAGAGTGATTACTCATAGGCTGTCTAATAAATAAGTCATGTTTAAGAAGAAAAAAATAAATCACAGACTGACTTTCAAAGCTGCTACATCATAATAGACGTTGATAGAAATGTAGTGGAGTGAAAAAGTATGATATTTGTCTTTCAAATGTAGTGAAGTTAAAGTAATATGTTTCCAGAAAAAATAATACTCAAGTAAAGTACAGATACTCAAAAAGTGTACTCAAGTCAAGTACCGTAATCAAGTAAATGTACTTCGTTACTGTCCAACTCTGGAAAAAGTCTACCGATTGATGTGGTCGTAAAGATGTTCTGCATCTAAATAAACGCAATTCTTGTCAAGAAAAAAAAGAGACAGAAGCTGCAGCTGTGAGTGGGGTGGCCAACCCTAGCTCCGCCCCTGCATTAAATATTTTTAACGCCGTTAAACTGGAAAAATTATTTGTCTGCGTTAATGTGCTAATTTTGACAGCACTATAATAAATATGTAATTAGGGCCAGATATTCGCACATGTAGGGGGCCCAATTACAATAAAAAGATAATACGATAAAAAGAAACCCTGACCAACATACTGGTTATTAAAACAATCGCTTAGTGATTATTTAGTGATTACTTGGCCGTGTGCCGCTACAAGAAAACCTTAAATTTGGATGAAAGCAGCAAGGCCATTATCATCAATTATCAAAAGAGACATTAAAGGTAGTAACTATTCCTATTAAATTAAATACTGCAAGTATGTGCTTTATAACAGCATCTCAACAGAGTGATGGTAAAACGGTTAAGCCGAATAAATTTGGTAAGCTGTTAATATTTTTAATGCTGGGGCTGTTTTGGGGTACTATATAGTAATAGGGATGGGGTGGGGGGGGGGCAAAATTCTTTTCGCGGTAAAAGGTAAATCTGGCTCTGACTATAATGAAAATGAACATAACTGTTTAATAAATGGGGGAAATATCACTTGTTCCTGGGATCAGTGTTCTCAACCGCTGGCAATAAAATGACAGCAGAAAGCAGCGGTCTTAAAGGGGTCATATGATGTTGCTAAAAAGAACATTATTTTGTGTATTTGGTGTAATGAAATGTGTTTATGCGGTTTAAGGTTCAAAAAGGTTGAAGGTTTTTAAGGTTCTGTCTTTTTACGCGTTGCGTTGCATCGCGCCGCTTAAACATAAAACCATGTCTGCATTTGTGATCGGAGAAATGACAAACCACAAGCTTACACAACGAAACACAGCGTCTTCACGACATGGCGGCAGCAACAATACTACAGCGAGAATAAAAGTTACGCCTTCTTTCTTTGCGTGAACATTTGGGCGGCGTTATGCAAATCTTCCCACACAGTGATGTAGACATGTGGGGGCGTGTTAGAACGAGCCGTTTTAGGTAGGCGTGGCTGACTCTTAACTTTTATAAAGAATATCTCTTTGGATTTGAGGCTTTAGTCTTTGCAACTTTACAGATCTTCTTTATGCACCAAGAGCTTGTAACACTCCAAAGAGAAAGGAAAAATTGAAATCGCATCATATGACCCCTTTAAGTTAGATCCTTGTCGATCAGCTGCTTTTCTTGCTGAAAAAATGATAATCATCAAAAAAACATTAGTAGGATAAGTAGAGTTGTTAATTTTATGGACAATCAGAATTAATTGACCGTTTTGAAAAAGGTTTGATTTCTTGAACGGCGTAAATGTTAAAGTGCAACAGTGAAATTCATTAAAAACTTGAAACATTTTTTTTCTTTTAAACATTTGTATGTGCAGTTTGTGCTTAGCTTGTGTG